TGACTTAATGAGATATTTATGTTTAAATTGAATCAACTAATCTAGCTTCACTCTGCATGTGAAGGCAGGTTTCACACCCCCTATTTATATTTAAGAATCATAAATGTAACCAAAGAGCATGATGTATGGAGAAAATCTCTTGGAGGGGTCGGGAGAATGTGAAGATCGATCTTGATATAGTGGTGCAAGAATTGAGGATTATTGGCGATCATTCTAACACTTCATTCATCAGAGGCAGCCAGGCATCTCAACATGAGGACTGCCTCTGAACCAGAGCATAGGTGGAGAATTTCTATCGTTTTGTTCTAACATGGATCTACCTTCGGCAATGGAGACACCGGATTGCCAGCAGGAACAACGTCGCTATGAGGGATTCCTCTGACCGAATTATAGGAAGCATTCATCACCTAGGTGGTATCCCAGACGAAGTTCGTAGGCATACATACACCACATGTTCTCAAGACGCCTGAAGCTGATTTCTGACCTAAAGTGACAAGCCATTAGGTCGAAGGTAATCGATTGATAGCTCAAACTATATTACCCCACAGGCCTCTTTCCTGGGGATCACTTCGAGTATGCTCGCTTGTGGGCATAGGCTCTGTAACATCAACCTCATGGTTTGACTAACGGCGCGATATTATTCAGGCTTGCCGGGAATTCTTCCAAAAAAAAAAAACCCCTAATTCTTTGACCTTTGTTTTATTACAATAGGAGTGCATCAAAAGATGAAATCGAGGCCATTTCATGCAACTATCTCAATTTCAGAGATTCGGTCCTTTGCAAAGACATCTTTGTATTGCTCCCACAACCGTCGAAGCTCTCGTATATACTTGTCATGAAGGTCATCAATGTACGTTTCGTCGATCTTGTCTCTGTCACGCTGTTGAACGACTTGGATAGGCCGGCCAACGACGATATTTAATGGACGTCGATAAGGCATCAGTCCCACGTCATAATTGAAAACCCCACGAGCATGAAAGAGCGGGATCGTGAACCCCATCGTATGCTTAATGAGCATTTGAAACTTGTGTATAACGGGGTGCTGGTCTGATCGCACCTGCTCATAGAGATCGTTTTCACCGAAAGCAAGTACTGGCACGAGGTCAGCACCGGTGCGAATTGCTAGCTTTATGAATCCTTTGCGGCATTTCAAAACAAGACGCAGAGAGTGAGGTAAAGCGTCCAGGGACTCACGAGCCCCACCAATGACAATTGTAATCGCGCGGCCCATGCCTTCCCCGTCAGCACCGCCTTTAGACAGTAGGTTTTCACAAGACTCCCGGGAAACACTGGCGAGTCCCATGGCAAGAGCGTATTCTCTGTAGAACGGAATTCGAAAATTCGAATCAAGGGTAAGCAAGGTGTTTGTGATCCCCGGAAACAACCTCGAAAATCCGAGTGCTTCAGTAGCAAATGCTGCAAATGCACCGTGAGAAATTATGCCGTGAGGGTGGTAGCCGAATATGTATTTGCGTGTTGGAAGTAGCGCTTCAGAGCGATGCAAGCAAGCAGGAAAATAAGAGGCATAAAGTGACCATATMGGAAGCGAACGCATGAAATCGCTACGCCCACTCAACGTTCCAGACGTTGCAGACGATGAAAAAAGTGAAATATAAACTAGATAGGGGAGTAACAGAGGCCAGAATACGGGTATGGCACAAGCGAAGAAGAAAAATGTCAAGAATATTGCGATTGTCAAAGTGTGGCATAAGACCACGAACGTCTGCATGCGTCTTTCGAGACCGATATTCAAGGGAGCCCAATGAATGCCACTAAACATTATCAGCCATCATTTTCAGTAACCCTCAATTCTACATATACACCAAACTGCGCACACGTCCGCAGAGAGAAAAAGGGATTCGAAGAACCAGAACTTACCGAGTCCTGGATGAATGCCTTCGCAGTTCTGAATAGCCTGGCGCTGACTGAGAATGCTCGTGCGAGGCTAGTATCGCTGGGGTGTCAATTCGTTTTATCGGAGAATAGAAACCCGCAGCTGATAATTCACTGTTGTTTGCTGCAATATGCCAGGATTTATTACCGTTTTGCACATGATTCGCACGCGAGGTATTCTGCTCGGTCTGCGTTTCTGGGCTCAAACTGATTTTTCCCGAAGATGAGGACTGAATCACCGACTCAGGCTGGTGTTGCAAGCTTCCTGCTTGTAGATTTTCTTGGCCTGGCATTATTGATCAAGGAGAAGTGGAAACAACCCCCGAGTGCAAAAGATAGGCAGGAATCTACTCTGAGGTAGACTGAACGGCTCGATGTCGGGGATCTTCAGCAAGGGTAATTCTGCCGCCTAATCTCAAGTCTTAGCTGAGGCGGAAATTTGGTATAAATTTGTATCCCACTTCGGCGAATGCACAGTCGGTTCCTTTCCTAAGATGATCAAAGAATCGATCACTCGGCAGAGTGGCATCGGGAACTTCGATCTAACCCAGTTCGCGGTGCGTAGTGGGATCCCGTATGAGTGATATGACGTTCGAAGGCGGGTCTTCAGTTCTGCATGAAGAGTATTAACTATTGAGCGGGTGTACTCTGTATTTATATATTCATATCAATTCGGTACTTTACTGATACCTTACCTAAGGTAGTTCCTTGAGAACTTGGGAAGTTGAGAGTGTAAGGTTATGTTCCGTACCTCTGGTACCTGCCAAACAATTTATATAGATACTTAGTTGGGGAAAGTGGGGATCTAGAATGGCTCCGAACCTATCAACCCGACGATCAGACCATTTTCAAAATTCGAACGTTAGAACATTAATGCCGTCTTTGGTACTATCCTGCTTGAATGGTGGACTTACGTTTCAGCGAAGAGTAATGCGAATAAGTCTTGAGGCATCTAGATCTCCAGGCCCGGGCTCCGATCTTACATCCGAATAACTCAAAGCGTATAGGAAATCAATACGGAGTACTTGGTATAGCCTCGGCTTGGCCTGCAAAGCCGCGACATCAAGTAAAGAAATGATTTAAAGGCACATGATGGTAATTACTTAAACATTGCGACCAAGACCGACGCAGGTGAATAACGTATATCATCAGCCTATCAGGTCATTGCTAATTTGGGATCTGTAAGTTATCAGGAATACAAGATAATATTTCTTGAAAGATGTAGATATGATTCTTCAAGCATGGGTCTAGGTAGGTTGACATGGGCCAACCGGCGAATATTTATTATGTTTTGATCATGAATATCTATGCCAGTTAGCCTATGTGCAACATGGAAAAAGATTGCTAATAGGAAAGGATAATAAATACCTCATTGAGAGATTTATCGTCCATGAGGGCTTTCTTCTTCTGTTCAATATGCCGGCTTCGAAAGATCCGTCTTCCCATAGGTTGGCGTTCCCTCGATGTTGATGGACAGTTCGAAGCTATCGCACATGTATTTTTATCATTTGCGACCGCTAGAAGGACTTTTGTAGACGATTTGTCCGCTGTTTCCGCGTCAAGCCCGTCACAGTCACTAATTTTCCTTTTCTTTTGCCTCTTCTCTTGTTTCTTTTCGCGGGATTTTCTGGAACTCATGTCCAGCCCCTTCCCCTTCTTCTTCTTCTTCTTCTTCTCCTCCTCCTCCTCCTTGGTCGTGGCACAACCTTCCTGTTGTGAGTCGTTATCCATGGGCTCCATCTTAAACAAGCCAGTTTCACTTTCATAGGAAGAGGTTTTCCGTGCGTAATCAGCGCGAAGATCCTGAGAAGCCGGGGAGGCGGTAGCATTATCCTTCTCCTGCACAAGAAGTCCGCCACTTATGAATCTGACGGTCTGCCACTTTGTTGCAGCATATCGAGCCAATTTAGCATCGTTCCGCTTTTTCTGCTCCGCTTCAAGTTGTGTATCAGATTTACCATTGAGCCGGCCGAGTAATCCTTTGAATGCGTCCAGGCCGGTGGGTTCATCCAAAAGGTCCCTCTTTGGCCGAGCTCCGAGGCCTAATGTGTCATCCTTCAAGACAACTCTTATATGTGATGCGCTAGCCGTAGTGAATAGATCAGAGTGAGTGGCATTCCGGGCGCCGAGGAAGCTACCGGGAGTCCAGCCCTGGGCTTTGAGAATCCTGTGTCCAAAACCATCCGTTGATCGTGACCAAGAGGTGTTGTTGGGATCATGCGAGATTTTGGTTTTCCTGCATATTTTGGTCAGTGACTTTTATCGCAGTGACATTCTTTTGAAAATTTACTTGCGAGGCGCCGCCAGGCCCATTTGCGATAGGAGCGAAGAGAATTTTTAAGCGGAGATAGAGAAGACGGCGATATAGTGTCGATCTGACTGAGACTTGAAGTCTAAACCAAAAATCTGCTATGTGAAGTATTATTCTGCGACCAAGGGAGACAAGTGAAAAGAAAAATAAAACGAACTCGAGAGAGAAGACAGAGAGGGTTGAAATGTAAAGCAGGACTGCGGCAAGGGTATCTAACGAGTAGCCGTTGCACGCATCTTTTCCCTTTTGGACTTAATAGAGAGCGGGAAAAAGTATTTTCTCTGACATGGTACCTCCGTTGCCTGAGTCAGTTATTGAATTATGCTGATTTCCCTGGATACCCTCTTCGATACGCCTGATATCTAGGTACCTATGTACTCCTACAAATGGATGCTCCATATCTAATATATACTATGTATCTGTTATCTGCGTAGTAATAGCAATAATAATATTATTATTATAGATTACGCTCACCACCATAAATATAGGGTACCCGGAAGTATGAGTCTCATTAGGGCCTTGGCGATGGCCTACTTGTCCAAAATCTTAATGACCTTCGATATTCATCATGAATAACACTCAACCTACTGAATAATATATTATTCTCAAATACTAATATTGACTCTTTACCTAACTAATACCCAAGCATTATAATGTGCTGTTATTAATCACTTAAGTCACTGAGTCAGTCCCTCTGAAAACTGGGCCTGAGCTGTGAGATTAATCCTTTCAGAAATCCTCTATACACTTCATATATATCATCATGAGAATCAAAATCTGATATCTTGTTCGAAGAATGCCTATTTTACAAGTCTTCTGCAGAGATAACCCTCGGCGTACTCTGGTTCTAGCCACTACTGACAACGCTTTGGTCTTTAAAGCCATCGCAGCAGAAGTGGACCACAGTACAGGAAACAACGAACGAGACACGATCCATTGCTTGGTTGAATTTTCCAGTTTGTCTTCCGTGGACTTAACAGGTTACCGCTGTCTATGCGATGGGCACGGTACGCTTGGGTTAATCGCTCTGGACGGAGATGTATTCTTATGTGTGGTGACTGGCGCCTCTAAGGCCGGAACAGTGAGGCCTGGCGAAGCTGTATGGCGAATCGACAATGTGCACTTCTGTAATAGCTCCCATTCCCTCGTTTATCTTATTTGGTCTGACCAAAGCAGTTTGTCTCAATCATTCAAGCTACGAAGATGGTCTTAATTATGAGTCCGAGTCCGAGTTTGCCGCTGAAGAACTCAACCGGGGTGAGAATAAAGAAATTGTCACTGATCACCCATTCTTAGCGTTGAAGAAGCTCTTGAGTGATGGCAGTTTCTACTATAGTCTAGATTTCGATCTCACCGATCGGCTGCAGGACCGGTAAGCCGATAGAGTGCCTAACCCATAGATCTACAGTGATTGCTGACATATTGTCAGCTCCGACAAAGCTGATGCGTTCGACATGGGCTCTTTAGATGAGGACATGCTGTGGAACTCATACATGATTAACCCTCTTCTTCTCCTCAGAAGCCGCTTGTCTCCCCTTGAGAAAATGCACCTCGACATGTCTCGAATGTTGACATATGTAATACGAGGATTCTGTAGCACTTTGACCATTCCCACTTCTAGGCCGATAGTTCCGCAAGCACCAACGCACTTGCCATCAACGTTGACTGTTATATCACGCCAATCATCTCGACGGGCAGGTACGAGGTTCAATTCCAGGGGCATTGACGATGACGGAAACGTTGCAAATTTTGTGGAAACGGAAACTGTTTTCTGGATTTCTCCCGGCCTCACTTTCTCATATGTCCAGATTCGTGGTTCTGTGCCCATTTTTTGGGAACAAGCACCTGGCTTCTTCCCTGGCCAGCAGAAGATTGAGGTAATCAGGTCGCGCGAGGCAACCAAACACGCCTTTGACAAACACTTCGAAAGTCTTGAATCACGATACGGCGCTGTACATATCGTTAATCTCCTGAGCGCTTTGAAACCCGGAGAAGTCGAGCTTACAACGAGGTTTCATGAATTGGTCAGCAGAAGTCCACTTAACCAGAAGGCTAACGCTCATGCCTCCTCCAACCATATGTTACTTGAAATGACGGGATTTGATTTTCATGCGGAGGCCCGCGGTCCTCTAGGTTATGGAGCTAGCGATCAAATCAAGGACGTTATTTTGCATTCTGTGGATGGATTTGGATACTTCTTGTCAGAGACCACTCCCTATGGTAACGAAGCAAAAGCCTCGTCCGTCGTTCTGCAACAAGAAGGCATTTTTCGGACAAATTGTCTAGATTGCCTTGACAGAACCAACCTTGTACAGACGATCATTAGCATGATGGCCCTTGAATCATTTTTTCATCAACAGGGAGCTCACATTGATCCCGAACTTCGGCTCATACACTCAACCCTTTGGGCTGACAACGGGGATGCTCTGTCGCGAATCTACGCTGGTACTGGTGCGCTGAAAAGCTCGTTCACTCGACATGGAAGAATGTCTCTCGCCGGTGCCCTTGCAGATGCACGCAAAACCGCCACACGGCTATACGTGAACAACTTCTCCGACAAAGCCCGGCAAAGGACAATAGATTTACTACTAGGACGTCTAACAAACCAAGCCCCAGTACAGCTCTTCGATCCGATAAATGATATAGTCTCCGAGAAACTGGCTCAGCGAGCCTCCGAATATTCTTACAAGAAATCGGTCCTGATCTGGACCGGAACGTTTAACGTGAATGGACGCCATGAGGGCCCTGATAATGATTTGACACCCTGGCTTTTTCCTCTCCCCGATCAGCGGAGCGAGGATCCAAGCATATTTGCCGTTGGTTTTCAAGAAATTGTTGCACTAAATCCACAACAAATCATGTCGACCGACCCAACTCCTCGCAAAGGGTGGGAAGCAGCTGTCAGAAATTGTCTCAACAATCGTGCAGGGAAGATGGGGAGTACAAAGTACGTTCTTTTGCGGAGTGGCCAGCTGGTCGGAGCAGCTCTTATGATATTTGTGAAAGAAGATATACTCAGAGACATAAAGAATGTTGAAGGCAGTGTCAGGAAAGTAAGTGTCCAGTGCAAGAAGTATTGCTTCGTTATGAGTATCTAATGATTAGAAAGACAGGTCTCTCAGGGATCAGCGGTAACAAAGGAGGCTGTGCTATCCGCTTTGAATATTCAAAGACTCGAATATGCTTCGTGACTGCTCACCTTGCAGCTGGATTCGCGAACTATGAAGAGAGAAATAGGGACTATGAGACTATCTGTCGAGGTCTTAGGTTCCAGAAAAACAGAACGATTGACGACCATGACACTATCATTTGGCTTGGTGATTTCAACTACCGAATAGGTCTCAGCAATCAGATCGTCAGAGATCTGTCAACGCAACGCAACTACCAGAAGTTGCACGACAATGATCAGGTACTGTGATTCACTCAAGGGAACGTCTATGCGCTAATTCAAGCTGAAGCTAAACCTGCAAATGATGGCGGGCAATGTGTTCCAGTTCTACAGCGAGGGGCTCATTACATTTCCACCAACTTATAAATATGACGTTGGCACAAATTATTACGACACATCGTAAGATAATACATTGTTTCTTCGGCGCACTTCTTTTACTGGAGAGACTAATACCCAGCAGGGAAAAGTCCCGCATCCCTGCATGGTGCGATAGAATTCTGTGGAAAGGATCAAATATCCATCAGCTGCATTACGACTCTGCCTGTTTACACTGCTCGGATCATCGTCCCGTGTGGGCCCTTTTTTCCTGTGACATTAATATTGTTGATGATCACCTAAAGGGAAATATCAGGAGCATACTCTATGCAAAGGAGATAGGTGATGCACCCGAGATATCGGCAAGGTCGATGAACCAGGCAAAAATGCATAAGCGAGAGTCAGCCGAACTGGACTTTCTCACTCTTACCCTTCCACCTGCCAGCTCAGACGATCAGAGATGGTGGTTGGATAATGGTATGACCTCCCAAATCTTGGATCGGTTCCAGAAAATATCTTCGTGGCTGGCTACTCTAACATTCATACGAGGCAGGTACGCCAGTGAAATCAATTGTACGGCCGCCTTCAAATGGATGGTCACTGAACATGAATCGCGAGTCCAACCCATTTTCTTCAAGTAATACCACTGATTGGGTACCTGCAAGAAGATTAACGGACAGTCAAAAGGTCGTGGTGGATAACAGAGATTCCATCACATACAAGCCTCCATTGCCCCCGCGTGGTGGGAAGGGAACCGCGAATCCATCCGATTTGATTCAAGACACTGACATGCGATCTTCCAGAGCAGATGGGGCCAAAAAAGCACCACCAATCCCTCGAAAACCTGTTGCTTTAAGTAACGATCATAAAGCCTTGTCGGGCCAAGCTGGATCACAGTCCGGTATGAATGTACTGGAGAGCGTTCCGTCGCAGCCGAGTAATCAACTTGACGTTCCGAGGTTCGATTTGAAGGGCCAAATTAGAAATTCACTTGCTGAACGCAGGGGCCCAGGTTGTCAAGACACTCCAAGCGGTGGATCCAGGCAATTTGGTGGATTTGAGCGTCATACAGGCATCACCAAGGACCTACTTGACGGTGAAGTAGATTCAGAAATCAAGTGGGAGCCTTTGCTACCAAAATAATACACAGTTCATCCACCTTTCATGATACCTATTTTCGAGCTGTGCTTGTACGCCAATACATTGGCCTTATGTCCTTATGTCCTTCTCATTTTTCTATTAGTGACTGCCTGTCCTAACCCAGTAGATATGACTTCTATATCAATTCTAACAGAGGAAGTGAGCATCCTGGAACGGAAGCTATATACCGTTCCTTTGCTAGGAGCTTGTGATCACCATATACCATGTTTTTGTAACTGAAAGAGCCTAATGTCAATGGACCAGGAGTGAATTAAAGTATAGTTTTAAAAGACATTGACAATCATGCTCTATGGGTATATAAGAAACTCCAGTGCTCATAATCCAGCACATATTTCCTCACTGATACAGACAGATATTTTTCCAGAAACTTCCACCCGTGGCCAGGAAAAGTATGAAATGTCACCATAATCCAATGCTTGATCTTTACATAACTCAACGTATGATAAATATACTACCAACTCCAACCACCGAGGCATGAGAAACCAATCCCGAGCTTGTCGAGAGGAAAAGCCATGCCCCTCCAAAGCAGACCATGATAGGGCAAGCTTGTATCCCAGTATGTCGTTGGGCTGCCTGGCAGACAGAACCCGCCGAGCACAGATCTGGCAGAGAACGAGCCATGACTGTGATCTAAGGAGTGAGTCTGCTCTGTTTAACAGTGAATGCATATAGCCAGAGATAGCTACCAGCCAACCACCTAGGATACGACCCTATCACATAACACGGCAAGAGCTACCGTGATGTTGGAATGCTTTAGGCTTTTTTCCCGCTTTTAAAGCCTTGTTGAGTCTCAGACGATTGCTACCCACCATCCACATGGCAAAAGCGCCGGGGTCGGGCCCCTTCGCACGTGGTTTCTTTGTACCTAAGGTCGAATGCTAGGTTAATACTGGGAAAGAACAAATGCGCCATTGTAGCAAATCTAAACTAGTCGAGCATAAAGGGAAAAGAAAAAAGGAGAGAGAAAAGGAGGGGGGGGGGGTGGGTTTGGTGGCAGGAAGGCCTCGAGAGGACTACCACCAGAGTTATCCCAGTTGATATGAAAAGAAATCTGAACATACCTGCTGCCGACTCGGATTTTTTCTTTGAATCATCGGGGGCAACGATGACTGCGCTATCAGCAGATCCTGGAGCGGTTTCCGCAGTTGCTTGTCCTTCCGGTACAGTACCCCCCTCAGCAGGATCAGGACTCTTCTTCTCTGGTATGGGCCACATATGCATGGTAATTGTCCAGTCCGGTTCAATGACGGTTTCCCAGACTTGTGGGAGAATGATATCACCATTTGGCCCTACTAGATCATAATGACCTTCTGCAACGTGAGGCCCTATTACTTCAATGTGGAGGAAAGCCTGCCGTATAAGTTCTTCCATTCCCTAGACTCTTGGTTTCAGAAAAGAGCATTTGTGCAAGGCCAAGAGGGGATCATACCTGCCATGTGCAGCACAAATCAAAGGGAAAGCTGAACTTCCTCCCGACAGCATCTTTGAATTTGATAGGTTTCTTTTTTTCCGGGCCCTTGTTCGCTGCGGCTGTAGCGGCAGCAACCGCTTCTTCGGCCTCCTTCTTCAATTTTGCGGCCTCTTCAGCAGCCTTCTGTTCCGCCTCCGCTCTAGCGGCCGCAGCGGCCTCTTCGGCCTCCTTCTTCGCTTTTTCAGCCTCTTCAGCAGCCTTCTTTTCCGCCTCCGCTCTAGCGGCAGCGGCGGCTTCCTCGACGATTTTCTTTTCATGCGCAGCACGCTCTTCTCGGGCAGCTTGCTCGGCGGCTTCCTTTTCAATTGCAGCTCGGAGCGCAGCCTCTCGCGCCTCTTTCGCTTCACGCTCCGTCCTTTCTTCTAGAATCAGCTTCTCCAGCCTTGCAATTGCCTCATCCTTAGCAACTTCTGCAGCGGCAGGAACTGGAGACGGACTTGATTCCCCCTGGCTGGGAGATGGTACGCGGGGGTAGGTGTTGAGGTAGGGCGGGGGTACCATTCCGGGCACCATGGCGTAGGGTTCTCTGAATGGGAAATAACCTCCCGGGCCGTATGGAATAAGTTCGTGAGGACCTAATGGGTTTCCACCATAATGTGATGGGCCATGTGGTGGAACTGCATGTGGTGTTGATTGCGGTGGTGAGCTATGCCCATCACTTCTCCCTTGGCTAGAAGGGTGTACTTGCGGCATATGGTGGCCAGGATGATGCTCGTGCATGAAGTATGCCGGCATTGGGGGCCCATGAGGATGTTGATATTGAGGACCGTACCCATAGATGGGATGGCTGTAAGCCGCCGAATGACCCGTTTGATGATGGTGACTTAATCTAACAAGCTGATCTGATGGCGGATGAAGACCAGAATGCGTAAAAGCTCCGGGTGATATGCCGCTGTTCGGATACACATATGATGGCCCCGGTGATGTGCTATGTGCGTAATTTGAGCCTTGAGCCATGGGCGGCCAGAGCCTTCTCTCGTGGGATGTTCGACCATACGGAGTCGCATATTCCTCAGCGGAATCCACACTCTCTGGGGAGTCAGGAGAAGGCTGACGGCGGGATCGACGGACAAATGACTCCCGTTCTGGCATAACATGACGTCTCGCAGAGTGACGGCGGCTCGGGCCTGATGATGAGCCATGGGTCGGATTGCGGTTTCGCGTGCGATTTGACGCTCTGGGCCGCGACGCCGAATCAGATGGCTTCAGTTCGTCCGGATATGGTAAGTGAGCCCACTCATCATATGGGTCATGATATTCATGGCTTCCGGACTCAGAGGGCGGCGAAACTTGAACTCCTGACGAGTCTTCCTCGTCAGATAGAGATGAGTCCGAGCCGCGTCGACTAGGGTCAATGGTAATGTTGAACCTGCTTGTGTATATTGAGTTAGTCAAGATAACAGCGCCAAGCCGTTCTTGGGTCGAGCCGTCAGAACGTACGTCATAGATATCCGTCAATAATGTTTGAGAAAGAATTGGATTGTAATAGATTTGAAAAAGTGATTATGAAAAAGTTATCCTTGAGTCGGTTCCGAGCGACATAAAGATGACCATCCAGAATAGCGATCAGACTTGGGTCGAGGACACCCTTTGAAAATGTTCGGAGAGAAAGTTAGTGAGCACATCCAAGGAAAAGGCGATGCTGATAATTCATATCCAATTCACTGGTTCTTCAATCTCTGAAACAAAGTGGCACTCATTCTTGAAACAAAATTCCCAGGTTTGGCAATAATACGCAGTCTAGCTGAAGCTTGGTAAAATGTAATGAGAAAACTCTTTCAGATCGAAGCTATGGCTCAGTTTCCGATATGTATCTGATCACAGTGGGAAAGAATGGAAGAATTTAAGCCAGTACAGTGGTTGGGAGATTGGCAACGACACCAAATGTGGGAAGGTGCCTGACCAGATATGCTTGAGGCGGAGTTTGGGCATTTTAGTATACCGAGGACGAAAAATTTACCCTTTTTCCCCCCCATGTTACTAGGTAGGGTAAGGTATGTTTTGTTCACAGTCTGGTTAGGCACTGAGCTGGCAATTTTGATTCTTACCCTCCCAGGAACCTTGCGAATACCTTGTGCTGCCTGAATGCCCAATTAAGGAATTTATTCTTACTGACATGATAAGTTCAGCCTTCAGGTTTCAGATGGAACACATACAGGCCTAGCCCTTCAGCCTCCTATGATTGGCCAATAAATGGTCTTCAGGTTGGAAAAGAAACCTAACTACCGCTCTACTGTACTCACTGATAATAATGTCAAAAATGTAAGGGATCTCTTCTAATGAAATGGCTTCATAGTATGAGAGAAATGAACCCATAATACATTAAGGGGTCCAGATACGAATGGGAAATATCTAACACTGGATATCAACCCCAAACACTGTCATCAGAATTATCCTAGGTCTAAAAAGTAGTGATGACACTGGAATACCTATTTTGTAAGTCTTTCACTTATCTAGGACCATGACGTAAGTGGGTCATGCCTTTTTAAAGTTGATACTATGAAGAGTACAAAACCTTGGTGTGCTCCATTAACCAGATTATAGGTACTGTGCTTTGATTAGCCCATGTATATTCGTCATTCAATCATGTTTGAAGGACTAACATGTTCTTCATTTAGCACTACAATGTTCCTGGATATTCCATTGAACGCCGCTTCACGCCCTGAGAGAATAAGCCTTCAGCGTAATCAGATAAGTGATGAGAGTAGTTCCAGTTCCAACACAAGAAGCACTCAATTATGAGGACAGATGATACAGCAAATCCAATAAATCAGCGATGGGGAATAGTTTTAGTCGGATGCATTGAGATGATTGAGAAGCTCCCTTGCTGCGATGAGCTCGCCCTGGCTGTATTCAGAATGAATGCGCCCGTTGGACCGTTCTTTCACGATACCCTCGATCCTAGTTTTGGCAAAGGCATTCAGCTTCTGGAGCCGCACTACTGTGAGTGAATTGTCTGCTTGCGACAATGAAGAATCCTGCAAGTAAGTTTGATACCCTTCACCTTTGAGCAAGATCGCAGAGGCCTTCCATATTCAGATTAGTTTTCGTGGTAAAAGCCGTGTTCTAGGGAGAACAATGACAGCACTCACTGAAGCCAAGCCGTAGAAGCCCCTCAGGTAGTTATCGCAAAGTTCAATACTTCTGCTGAAAGAACGGATCGACCCCCGCAGTAGGTGATATGATTGCTCTGGGTCGGAAGACCCAGCAACAAGATATTGAAGCCCCCCGAGACGAGCATGAATCTGGTCAGGAAGAACGAAAGAATCGTTAGTCTCTGTACTGGTTGACGGTGATGTGCACTGAAGTAGTTACATTCCACGCATTTGGTGCAATCAATAATGCTTCCTCAAGGCAGAAGATTGCCTGCAGGCCCATTCCTTGAGACTTATATAGATCTGAGAGTTCACACCAAGCTTCTGCATCCGTAGGAGCAGCCTTCAGCAGATCTATTAGGCTGTGTATAGCATCTGTGTGTCGAGACAATGCACGCAGAAGCGCAACACGCCGCTTTAGAACAGGCTATCAAATATTAATTAGCCGGTAAATCCTAGCTAATAAGATCATCACAGACCATGTTCGCCGGATTCTCCAGCAGTATGGTGTCATATTTGCGTAAGCAGGATTCCAGGGAAGATCGATCCTCTGCAACGGCCTCTTCGTATATGCCACGTAGCCCAAGGACCCTCTCATTTGAAGCCCCGAAGCGCTGTTCGAGTTGATGGAGACAGGATAGTGCCGATCTGTCATCCCCAGTCTGTAAACAAGCTAATAAGAGCTGTTCAATCTCCCTGTATTCCTCAAACTTCTCCGGCGAGAACATCAATGTGGACTTCGCGTTCGTCTCCGATGTAAGGCGTCGGCTGAGGATCAACGGTGCCTGTTGTGACAGATGAAGGCTAGAGAACAAATCCGAGCCATGAATAGCATGGAGTTCTGGATCTGTACGACCCATTGTTTGGCAAACGTTGGTGTCAACGTGTATTATTCAACTAAAATGAATGTCTGTAGGGGAAACCAAAGCAGGACCTGGACTTGTGTGAATCTCACAGAAGTCAGGAGAAATCAGTTGTCTAGTGCGGATCTGTGCTTATCAATGTGACGCTATAGAGCTAAAATATGGAGTATTCCTCTGCTCTGTGGAGAGGTCAGAGTACTAGCAAATAATATTAGGCTATTTCGGATTCCCGTGATTTTAACCATCCCATCTTAGTTTATCATCACATATGCCCCACGACAAAGATTCCAGCGATATCAGAATCGTGTCATACTTTGAGAATTAATTTTATATTTTTTTTTAGATCTATATTCGGTCGTCTGCGATCTTTGAAGCCACATGGCAAAAATATCTACCTGATCTTTTATGAGACAGAGAGTCGCGAATACCTTCATTCAATCATTTAAAAATGTAGGGTTGATTGCTGAGCTGGTGTAACTTTCCACTGATTAGAAGTAATTAGGTTCGAGAAATCACTTTACGACCTGATCAAAGGTCTAAGGAATCATAAAGGGGCAGAAGATGAGTTTATACAGGATAGTCTTCGAGAATGTAGGGCTGAGATCAGATCTCAAGATATGGGTATGCCCATCCCAACCCCATCATATTCGCCTTCAAGATACGGCAAGTAGTCCGCTAATATATTCCAGATAAGAAAGCAACTGCCCTCTTGAAAATAGTTTATCTGGAGATGTTTGGGTATGATATGTCATGGGCATCATTTCATGTCCTGGAAGTCATGTCATCTTCGAAATATCTGCAGAAGAGAGCTGGCTACCTTGGTGCAGTTCAAAGCTTTAGACCCGATACTGACGTCTTGATGCTGGCAACGAATCTATTGAAGAAGGTATTTGAAGTCCCAAGTTCCTTTTAAAAAGCTTGTCTGACGCTGGAATAGGATCTCATATCGTCAAGTACTCCGAGCCTGTCCTTACCACTGACCACATTACCACACATTATAACTCCTTCGCTTGCTATGTCATTGCTCCCTGATGTTCTATCTCGGCTTTCACACTCGCGCGGTGTTGTGCGCAAAAAGGCAGTTGTGTGTCTCTACAGACTTGCTTTGGTTTATCCCGACGCACTCAAGTTTGCATGGCCGAAACTAAGGGAGCGCCTCATGGACGATGAAGAGGAAAGTAGTGTAACTACGGCCGTGATCAACGTCATATGTGAGCTTGGTTGGAGAAGGCCGCGTGATTTTCTTCCACTTGCCCCGAGGCTCTTTGAATTATTAGTCGATGGGGGGAATAATTGGATGGCTATAAAGATAATCAAGCTGGTATGGTGTTCCCTTTTTGGAGGACGTACGCTTCTAACGAGACTAGTTTGCGACTTTGACACCCTTGGAACCTAGACTAATTCGGAAACTCACTGGACCTCTGATGAATATAATTGAAACGACGACCGCCATGTCATTACTATATGAATGCATCAATGGCGTCATTCAAGGAGGCATACTCGATGGCGACGAAGCACTTGAAGAGAGGGATGCAGTCGCAAGTCTCTGTGTCGGGAAACTTCGAGGAATGATTGTCGCGAATTCCGACCCAAACCGTAAGTTTCTTCCTGAACAGTAAGTGTGAATACTAAAATAAATTTGAAGTCAAATATGTCGCGTTACTGGCGTTCAATCGAATCCTGCTCTCTCATCCTGCATTAGTATCAGTTCACTGCGATGTCATCATGGATTGTTTGGAGGATGCCGATGTCTCAATACGGATTCAAGCCCTAGAGCTTGCGGCCAGAATGGTCACAAGCGACACACTCCAGTCCGTCGTCGATCGGCTGCTCAAGCAGCTTCAAGATGCTACGACGTTTGATCCTGTTGAGTCGAGACATACCGCAGCAACAGAGAACTTGAACAATCAGAAAGGACCCATTACTTTGCCTGTGAGCTATAGGATCGACGTGATGCATCGGATACTTGATATATGTTCCTTCAACAACTATTCGGACTTATACGACTTTGAATGGTATGTCGACCTTTTGGTAGAATTGATGAAACTCCGACCACGGCAAACTAAACAACTCCGTTTTCCACGAACTATTCGGGCGCTTGAAGACGATAGTGGAGACGATATAATGTCCCGAATCTGTTCGGAAATACGCAATGTCGCCGTCCGTGTCAAAGGAGTCCGACTGCAGGCCACAAGAGCGGCAGAACTTCTGATTTCCGTTGAGAACCGACATTCATTGTTCCTTCAACCTCATACCGATAGCCACGCCCTCGGATCGCTATCTTGGGTAGTCGGCGAGTATTCGGACTGTCTTTGTACCCCTCATCTAACGCTCCAGTCACTGATCGACATGTCAAACATGTCACTTCCAGCTAAGGCATTGTCCCTCTACGTTCAGGCAATTCCTAAGGTGCTCATACAAGTGGCCAATGACCCACACCAAGATTGGAACACAGCAACGGTGTGCGAGATATCACTATTTTTTGCGCAAGTTATCAATTTTCTCGAATCCCTGGCGGTTCATCCTGATCTGGATGTGCAGGAAAGGGCCATTGAATTTCTTGAAATGGTACGCTTGGCAGCTGATGCACTAGTGACGGAACGCCACAGTTCGGAAGCAATGCCTTTTCTGTTATCGTCCATAATGCCCGGGTTGTTCTCTGGGCTGGAACTCAACCCAGTCGCTATTGGCGCTCAGAAAAAGGTTCCTTTTCCAGGGGATCTCATTCTGAACGAAGCTCTCAATCAAGAATTCCCAACACTTCTCAGCGAATCGGACTGGAATCCCGAGATCGACAGCCAGCACCCATCTCAACAGTTTTACCATGTCGCAGACACATCCAGTTATCATAGCATGCCCATTGGGTCTGCTACAGTCGAGCTATATCCAGATTCATCATACCAGGTTCCAGACGATCGATCAAATGACCTATCTGCCGCCATTAAGCGGAGGGCCGAGCGCCAAGAACGCAACAGAGAGGATCCCTTCTACATCGTTACCGAAGATCGTCCTTCTGGTGCGTCAGACCGAGACCACAGCATCTCACCTAACGGCGATTTGGATGTCGACTCTATCCCCATAATTAACCTTGATTTGAGCACTTTTGGAGACCAACGTGGGGCTCCACTGTCAGACAGCAAAACTCGACACCACAAAGGTCAACGCCCCAGAAAACATCGTGTCATTGCTGATGAAACCATTGGACTGGATGACTCCGTTCTGCCGAAAGCTGCGGATGACCTTGACAAAAGCAAGCGTTCTCTCCTCCAAGTTGATTCCAGTAGCCTTGGGCTCCCTACCTTGGAGGGGGAAGATCGAAGCCCTAGTTCCACACTTAATCTAGATCATACCGTTCAGGATGATGCAGAGATGGTGAGAGCGATGCGACAAGTAGAGAGGTTACGGTTGGAGATGCAGCGAGCATCGGAGCGAATTCACCCGGAAGGCATACCTGTGGAGGGTACACCTGTAAGAAAGAAAAAGAAAAGCAAGAAGGCCAAAGTGAGAGGACATGCGACTGCCAATGTATTACAGGATACAACTCAAGCGGAAAAGGATGGTACCCGCGAGATGTGATTATCTGCGACCTCCCCAACAGCGGAAGGCAACAGTGTGACGCAGACCTTGGGTGAGGTGAATTTCCTGCCCTACTTTCATTGAATAGTGGCATCCGCGAATGACGATCATAGATCGTATAGCCACGGTTTGTCTTTGACGATTTTACAGCCTGGAGTCTATGGTTTGGATGCATGAAGGCCTTTGGAAGGAGGAACATGAATGTAATATGCGTGAGAGATAGTCACGTACGTAAGAGGGTACCGCTCGGCATATGCTCTGCTTGATATTCGTTCCGGGACAAACCTTCGACATAGGAATTTGGTGTGGCTTCGAAATGTTGGGAGGCTAAGGTTGAAGAATAGGTGGCATACTTCGAAAGGCACTCGGTATTTTACAAGCTTGAGATGATTGCATCGCTAACAGCGGCCACCTAGGCAATGAGGCGACCGAACATCGTAGTGGCAGCTGACCATATCGCTGGAATAACTCTCAGGAGTTCAAATGCAATTCCCCCGCAGACAACAAATGCAAGTATAACTATGATGTCTTAGCTATTTGGTCATGCCTGTAGATGGCTTCTAGTTGCTGTGTGGTACATACCCAGCCATCCAGTGGACACTGGGGACTTTGAATTCTGTTTTGGTTTTGCTGTAGTCTGCCCTTTGCCTCGTTTTGCAGCCTCATGCTTCGCATATCTCTCATTTGCTCTTCGCTGCTGGGGAGTTTGAGCCTAAAGAAGGAATGACAGGTCAGCTCCAGGTCAGGCCAGTTAGGTGTTGTGATTACCATTATGATTTTTATCCACTGTGTGTTCCCTGTATTAGGAGGATGGTGTAAACATTAAACTTCATATATATTCTGTAAGGCCGACTAATAAATTATATCACTAGCTTGAAATGAGCCCTTTGTTAGGCCGGCTCTTAATAAGGAGCTGAGATGTATGAGGAATAAGGCCACGTTGTTTAGTTATTGATTTCCCTTTATACCTTCTTGATATGCAGATTACATTGATAGTACAGTCATAAAAACTTCCATACCTTGCCTATACTTGGCCCTATTAACTAAGGTGGGATTTAATGAAGTTTAATACACAGGTGAAATATTACTAAGTAAACAGATATTGGTTTATCTATTTAACTGTTATTAAATCAGGGGCTAGCAAAAAGTAGTGCAATAAATAATATAGGTCTAATATGGGGTAAAATGAAATATCTCTTTTTCATTACACCCTATTCATCATTATCTGAAATTATAAGGTTAATGGGTAAGATTAGTGTGAAGAGTGCAAGATATATTACCTAAGCAAGGAGAACTAACATAATTCCCAGGTGAGCCAGGCACCCTAGTGAGCCGGCCATCTCTGTATTCCATATAAAATGGCACCCTTTGAGACTTTAATATCTTAACAACCACGCATCTACAGGGGCTAAATCTAGGCATGAGGTATATTATAGTTATATACTTATAATCTATATCCTCCTTGTGTATATATACATATAGCTAACATAAAATACACCTATAATTTTAGTAATTTTAACTTCTAGATATTAAGAGAGAGATTGAGAGAAATAATATTTTAGCATCCTAAGAAAGAGTATTTATATACTTCAGACTAGACCTTAATCAATTCTCCTTGCTTGCTTACTCATATAGCTTATCTCTCTTACTAGATTCTACCTTAATTAATTCTCCTTACTTACTTA